ATAGAGTCTGCTACTGAAAATACTGGTCATAGCGATGACCATTCTGCCTCTAATGTGGGTAACCCCGAGGTTGCAGACCCCGTCAGGGATCAGTCACCTGACCCACCATTCCGGAGGTCCACCAGGACACGTAAACCACCTGATAGGTATGGTCAGTGGGCCTATTCTCAACAGGCAGAGCTGATGAGATCTGGTGAACATGAAATATTTGTGTGATCTAGTCTGTGATATGATTTTACTGTTTCAAATCCAGTTTATCCAGTTTTTAATGAATATTGTTTTATTTTTGCGCTTGCATAGCAAGGGACAATGTAGAATGTTCTCCTGCGAGTAGGTAGGGGGTTCCCCAACCACTCCAGCAGTGAGTTATGTCGTTATCTGTTCTTTGTTGTTTTTATTAGTATATTGTTTTACTTTGTTTGACAATCATTAGGTTTGACTTCCGGTAGGAAATGGAGTGGGTCCAATCGATCAATTCGATTTGGCTATATCCACTCCTGTCCCCAAATCTCCTTTTCTATTGTAAAATAGACTAGTTATTATATTTTGAATATAATGGATGCCTTAATTTGGTATCAGGAGTTGAACTTCACCTGAACTTCATTGTTACTAGTGCAATGATGCTATGCACTATTTATCCTATATGTGATAAAATTGTGTACAAGTTCCTTAATTTATGGATTCCCTCTAAGTTATAGTGGGTTTACCAATTGGAATGTCGGGTGCCATTCAGGAAAGTGGGGGAATATGTAACAGGGTCTACTCAATGTACTCAATGCACTAAGCTATTTATGTTTACGTACATAATATCTGTCCTGTGCTCGTGTCATAACTAGTACGAAGTTTGTATGAAGAGTGTATGTTGCACGGGTATTTACTACGTACTCACGCCACCCTGCACACATACCAAAGCCCTGTTCACGTCCACTACCAGTCACTTTCCATCTGACTGCTGGACGATCATGATCAAGACTCTTAGAGACAGCTGTGCCACGTACCTCATGGGTCTCTGGTAAGTCTTAGGAAATAATCAAATATTCCAAACCAATTTATATTGTCGCGACAGTTAAATGTATATCATGTGTCCCTACAACGAAAGTAAAAGTAAGTTCCTTAGTTTCGTATTTATTATGTTGTAGGTTTTCTTAATTATTGATTAAATGGAAGTACCAAACTTTTGAGTCGTCTCATCACTAAAGAGCTGAAGGGTTACATTTGGAACCCTTTATAATAAGCTTCCGTCATATTTGTGACTGAGAGGAATTGGAGTAAGTATTATTTCTTTGGCTTGTATAGAACCTGGTGTCTCTAGTAGTGAAGTACCCAGTTTCACCAAGCACAAACTAATTAAAATTTGTACGTGAATGTTATGCAAAACTCCCTTAAGTTTTTTTCATAGACGACACAAGGTCTTTGTAACAAATATAAGAGGTCAACGTAAGTAGTAGAACGAAAGGAGAAATCAGAACCGCCCTGTATCACAAGTCACATTATATAAGAAATTTCTCTATCCACAATCCTTGAAGACTTATGAAACTTTATCATATTAATGTATCAACTCTTTAAAATCTCAAAATATGCCTTAAGTCATACTGCCGTTAATGGAAGAAAAGGTACACATGATGAATGTGATATTAAGGTAATGAAAAAGTTAATGATTTAAACACTTTAATAACATTATACTTGTAGATGCACGAATGCATTTCCCACGATACAGAACAGAGCTCTATACTTTTATCATTTCGCGATGTACATCTCTACTGTATAGCTATTATCAGGTGACGCTTAGCTCCCCAAATGTGTACACAGTTGTTCTGATGACGTCAAGCGTAGCAAGTCGAAATATGTAAATTAGTAATAAAACTTCGGAATCCCGATTTCGATATACCATCTCCTATATCTTTTGTATTTACCTTAAATCCGTGATGCTTCTGTATTGAATATTGTTGGGTATCCGTTACTACGAGAAAACATCTATGACCGATGATGATGACTAGGACGCTGGCTGTCTTTCCTCTGTTAGGACACACTTTTTTTATCTTTGGTGAAATAATGACATGAAAATTGAGAAGAGGTTGCATGATGTAGTTTATTTTTATGTCAAGTGGATTGTCAGAGGGAACGATAATTTCGTTACGCACTCTTCATTTTGCAATTAAAAAAGGAAAACATGTTTATTATTGTTATTTCTTGGTGTAGAGCAATTGTAAGATAAGGTTTCACTATAAGTGTTTTTGAATACTTGATATAATGTGTACATGCGGAACTGACCATACTCAGAAATTTGTTCTTTCTCTCTTTCTCTCTCTTCGGCGAATAACATCATTTTTGGTGATTTTTTTAAAAAATCTGTCTCACTTCTTGCATTGCTCTCTGAAAATACCTGATGAATATCATATCACGGAAAGGCTCATCCAACGCCTACACTTTATTAATGCGGGTCGTGTTCAAGGTGTCAATGGTGTTTGTTTTCTTATTTGTTTGTTTGTTTTTACAAAAAAAACTTATTAATAAACACAGAAAGAAAGTCAATTTGACGGGGGTCGTAACAGGGTTTTACTTTGACTGATAAGTATTAACCGACTCAACTGATTTGCAATTATCTCGATCCCAATCTGTTTTTATAGGCAGTATATTACCAATGCAAGCTAATAATACTTAACGTGATGTTACCACCACCGAAAAGGAAAAAATTAAAAAAAAAAAGATTTTACCAAGAGATCTTACCAACAACCATCGCATGATCTCAATAAGTTTAAGGTACACTTTGCGATTTTGATACATTCTCGTCTCACTTATATCCTAAAACATATGTGATATAGTATGATCGCAATTATGTATTTAGTAATCGTGATATTACCAGTTAATCCTGTAAACCTCGTGAATATCTTGAAACATAACATCCACTTTGTAACTTTTATCCTGAAGCTAAAAGAAAATGGGATAACAATACAGCGTTCGAACCCTTTTTATATCATATTTGGTTATGATAAACTATTTGATTAAAGGAACATCAAGGTAGAAACATCAAGTTTGTTAATTGTATGTGTTTTATACAAACAAAATTTAATTTCTATGTTATCCGGGATATCCACAGTCGATTTACAGCTTGACCGTCTCTTTTATTCGGGAAACCCTCTCAAATTTACCGCCGATAACCTTATGTTATAGTCTTGAAAACGAGGCAGTTCATTTTGTAAACACGAACACATGATGACGGGCAGATATGAGAGCGGGAATAGTGGTACAGTAAGCACAATCCTGTTTTTAAGTACCGTACTTTTTTTGGATGTGGCAAATATTATTGATGGTAAAATCTTCCAACATACTATTGGTATACCTATGGGAACCAACTTCTCCCCTCTGTTGGCTGACTTGTTTTTTATTTTCACACGAAGCTGAATTTATTAAAGAGCTTTTCAAAACAGACCACAAAAACCTTTCAAAAGTCGTTTATCTTCACCATCAGATATATTAATGACGTCTTGTCTTTAAATAACTAGAAATTTGTTGAGTACACCCATCACATATATTCACCAGAACTGGAAATCAAATATTCGACAGACTCTGCTACATAAACTGCTAATCTCGATCTTTTCCTACCACGAAACTAATACTGACAGCTTCCCATCAAGCTATATGATAAACGTGATGATTTCAATTTCCCTATTGTAAATTTTCCAATATTTCTGCATCTCCAAGCTATGATATTTATTTGTCACAATTGATTCGATATTCAAGGGCTTGTTTCCATTTTCATTCAAGAAGTCGTCAACAGACTCGTAACAAAAGGGTTCAAAAGATACAGGTTGATAAAATCATGGGGGAGTTATATGGTCTCCGTAGTGATCTCCTAGAGAAATATTCTATTTCTTTGTGTGACATTAGGCTGGACGTATTTGATGCTCGTTAGAGTGCCTATTGGTTCCGTTGTTGTATACCTTGTTCTCATTTGAGAACGTAATATTACATACTTGGATTGACCAAGGTTTAAATGGCAGGAGTCGGCAATGAAGCAGAAGACGTTTACTCTTCCTGATCACCTGGTTTTATTCTTCTTGTACGTTTTCATGAGTCTCCGTGTAAATTTTTCCTTTTTCAACTCTAGTTTTATGAAATTTGAGTTTGACTTGTTATGCCATATTGGTATTTTCTTGATATCTTTTGATAACCCTTAGTCCTTTCAGAATTACTAACTAACTGGCATTAATCACCAACATTGTCTCGACCGACGGTGCATGCGTTTTCGTGTATGACGCAAAAATGTACATACCCAGAATGTTAATCAACGGATAATTAGTTTCTTTTTATAATTATTAATTAACTCTTTATGTGTATATTCTACTTCCCGTTCCGAAGACTATTTCCTGGAATTATAAAACATGGACTGAGTACAGCAATCTAACAAATACATCAAGAATGATGTAAAGCTATATGATTTGGTCAGTCAATATCGTACTGTTACTTTATTTTTTTTATTTGGAGACTTTCTTGAAATAGAAGAGATGTAAAAAATTCCTTAACCATACAAAAACGTTTTGCAGCATCGATGAGCTGCATTTTTCACGCCTGATGCCTTAAACAACTACTGCAGTAACATTTTCCATCATAAAATAAACCACTATGTTTTATTGCTATTTGAAAAATGAATATAGATACATGGATGCAGGTGTTAATTTAATTTGATATAAATAATTGCTTATGATATTACATGTAGCATGTCTGATCGTTTAAAGGTGTGTATATGTTTTCAGAATCTAGAGGGATAATCTCTCTATGCATATTTTTATCTTGTTTTTTTTAAAGAAATAAGGGCAACAAGACGATTTCAACAATAGCTAACCGCTCAAACTCCATGAAATGTTGTGGGATAGTACAAAACACAAACAAGTGAACAGAATATGACATTATTGTAGTTTTTATATAATAGTGAGTTATAACTTTATGCATGTTTTGTTTTGCATAAACACATTGTGGACACATCTCTCCACGACCTACTATTATGGAAATCTGTATGGATATTCTGAACATGTTGGCTGACTGGCAACAGTTGGGCAATTATACATCCGGTTTATCACTTGTGCATCTCTACTACTCATCCTATTGGATCGTCCTATCCTATTAAGGAAAATGCGTCTATTTTCTTCTGGTCTTGGTATTACGGTGAAGTCACCATTCCGGCTAAATGCCTGAAAATTTCAAACTAGTGTATAACCATGGTTCTACCAAACATAGTAATTTTACGTCTTCATAAGAGGTACGTAATGTGCTTTTATCAGACACGAACGTAATCTATAATGTTCCACTTCATATTGCTGACACATGTACATAATTATCTTAATACCATATATGTCTTTATTCATTAGAGAGATGAACTATATTCCCCTACCCTACAATAATGCAATATACATTAATATATATATATCATATGATCAATGAAGTAATAACGACACTACAAGTGAATTGTCAAATTTTCGACGCAATCTGCCCCTTTTTCAAGACATAGATATTATACAAATTACACCACATACATAGAACATAAAACATATACAAAGTTATAATTTATGTATCTCGATAATCCCGTCGGTCGATGGACGCCGAAAGCCCTTTATAATATATAATCCTATACGAGTTACCTTAAGGTGGAGTAAGAGGTAGCGACTGCCATGTATGACTGACATGACCCGTTCGATGTAGCAAGATCATCTGTCGTGAGTAGCAGGTTTGGAGTTGGTTGACGTAGTGTCGATCGATACTTAGGTTTCTGGTCATCCCAACTCCTGCAGTGGTCAATGGGTACCACCTGCATATCATGCAGATTACCTCGAAAATTTGACAATTCATTTGTCCGTAGCGTCGTTATTACTTCATTGATGATATATCTATTCCAGTGATACGCATTCATTTATTTGTTGGGATCCAATATTGGACCATACCGTCAATCATACTTAATATATTCTATCTATCTGTACATATATATATATATATATATATATGTGTGTGTGTGTGTGTGTGTGTGTGTGTGTGTGTGTGTGTGTGTGTGTGTGTGTGTGTGTGTTTCTTTTTTTTATAGTAGGAGTTGAACTTCATCTGTGATTATACCCAGGATTCTTACTTTGTTGCCGTAATGCATGATGCTGTAATAGTCATATGGAATGTTTCTGGAGTCGATGATTGTTCTGCTGTATCGCTTGAAATTCCCACGTTTGCCACGCTCCACATTTCTTCGGATGACATCTACAAATTTATTTCTGTCTGGTCTAGATTGCTCATGATGCAGACCTAGTGCATGGAGAAGCTCGTGGGTAGCGACGCGTGTCTGAATTGAGAAATCAGACACAATAGATTTGCATGCATATGTACGTGTGATTTCTATACCTTTCGTTTAATGGAATTAAAAATCGCTGATTTTTCTCTCAGACGTACATGCAAATCCATATCTCTATATTGTTAACCATACCATAGGAATATATAACGGAGATCTCTTTCAGTAATATAATTGTGAAAAAAATAATAATAACTGAGGAAAATTCTAAATGATAAAAGTAAAAATGTAATGATATAAGTTGTTCAATTTTTTTTGTTGATGTATAACACAGGATAAAATTAAATATACTTCGTACTTGTAAAAACTATTATATCATATAACTGATTAAGAAAAATGGTTTTACCGCGATGTCGCTTTATATGTTCTTCCATATTTTTGATACTGACGTAATATCTAACCGTAAAATGGGAAAGTTTTGTTTAATTTTTGCAAATACTTTTGATCCGGAAATATTTAACAGACCAAAAATAACAAATAAGAAATAACACTTTTGTTGAACTGGGAATATCAGTCTTAAAATCCCTTTGTTCCAAGTGGCCGGTATTTACTGTGGACTATTAAGCACGTAGCCCTAAGATTTTGTTTAATGGTGTTAATGCCAGTGGTATTGCAACAACTTTGGACCATAGTAAAACATTTTCAAATAAGACTAAGGAATCACTGAAAATTTGTTCGTTAACTTAGTGGTTGCTTTGAAATATTTTACAAACGCCATATATCATAAATGTTTTTGTTGTGATGTAAAAAAAAATTGAAGGTACATATTTGCATGAAAACAAACAACAATTAAGTATTCGATCATGACGGAAGATACATCCCCCCCCCCTTAAAAATACAATAAAAAATGAACATTTAATTTCCTAGAAATGCACATAAAGTAAACTTCTTGATTAAAAGGGAGCCAAAATTAGACACACAGAAATATCTGCTATATACTCACAACTCTACATCGAGATGCCAAGGTCAGATCTTGAGAACGAGTGCCACCCTGATTACGTAGAGATCTGCCCACACGGGATCGACATCTGCATTAGATGGTTCATAAATGAAATAACATTACGAACGAAATCATAGATTATCTAAATGTGAACATAAAACAGTTCATCCTATGCTCTGTCTGATCATACTTTCGTAAAATATCATATGACAGAAAGTACAACATTGACCTGATTACTTTAAATAATAAGATAATCAAAATGGACACATTGTTATATTCCTAGTAAAATCTGAAGTAGAAATCATATTGTTTCCTGATCGGTTTATGTATGATGTACAATACAGTACAAAAGAATGCTGATACTATATACGTACCCATTGCCATCTACAATTCGTACATGAGGAACGCGGTCGAGTGCCTGTGTTCTGCTAATGATGTTGAAACAGATGCAGGTTTTCTCCGATATCTCGTCCATGGAATCAGCTATTCTATTTTTCTGTGATCGTGCTTTATAAAAAAAGCATGCCAATAAACCGCAATTAAATCTTCGTCTGATAAATAATACTCCTTTGGAAAAAAGGCTAATTCATTTAAATGATTTCTTTTTTAACAAAATTAAATTTTGAAATAGAAATAATTACTTACTAAATCCAGAGCTAGCTATTCGAATTCCAACTACACCGTCTGGCCATCGTTTTCTCCGGCTTCGCCTTGCAGCTCGCTTCCGTCTTACTGGATATGCCCGTCGTTCTAACCTTGAACGTAGGAGATCTCGGAAGGCTATGTCGTTTTCACGTTCTCTAGGGAGTTTCTTCAATATTATCTCTTCCAATAGATCAAGACGTCTGAAAATAAATTACATAATCAAGAAAAATTGGATTAAACATGACATGCCATTTTACAATTTGTATTCGTGCCTTCTTCATGTCAGTCTAAGATGTAGACATTTTATAGGAAGTGTCTATCTATTCTTCCTATGTTTCGAGACACTATGGACGTATAGTTAAGTTCATTTGTTCAAGAGAGCCAATAATCCATAAAAGATTGGCCTTTTAAATAACGAACTCGGATTTGTTATAATTGGATAACTGATTAATCAAGTTATTACATTTGTTTGTTTAAATCATTCAATTCTGACTGATCAAGAAGAATATCCCCTTCAATCACAACACTTGATTGGCTCTTTAATTGTCGTTGATCAGCAATCCGTGCAACGGCAGACCCTGTAATGAACCAACAAAAACTATATTAGATAAAGCGTTCTTTTAATTTTATTTTGTTTTATTTCTTTTATTTTCGTTTTCGTAATCCAAACTCAAATTCAACAAAACTAAAGCGAAATATGAATTAGACAAATATTAAAAAGTGTAAAAAGAGAATGAGATTAGGTGTTCCGGAGAAGTAAGCGTCTTCTGCTCCATCACATGTAAACTTAGCTGAAGTCAATATTAACTGTCACGTTCTCATATGAGAACCTACCAAATGATTTCTTTTTTCACCGTGTTAATAAATCTATCTAAATATTAAAGGATTTAAAAAAGATAAGTTATATGAAGACTTCGCCTCTCAAAAATAGAGCAATCATTTTGGGTACCTTGTTGTTAATAGATGGCCAACGTTAAGTGACATCAAGGTTGAAAAATATACCTGATAATATGTTGATGTCCGTTTGATATTTTTTCTTTATTTTAATTAATTTTATTCATATTTTAAATACGAGTAACTGGTGTATACAAGTGGTGAACCGAGACTGTTTTATGTGTATGGTGATTAGCTATTGGTGATTTGTCTTAATAAATATAGATACATGATTGCTTTAAAACTTACCTGAATGTCTGCTATGTGAATGAATTACAATAGCAGGAAATAAAATTGATAAATCTGCAAATATATCTACCACCTCAATACGAAAACATGGTTAAAATAGATAATGCATTTGACAAAAAAACGCTGGCGGTTAGAAGAATCTGGAGTCAGCATGTAGGAGTACGAAATAGTCGAAATCGTCTTTCTATGTATGGAAAGGACGCTGTTTAGATAATTTGTTGTCTGTCAACGTTTTGGCTCAACAATAATTTTATTGGATAACAGATCACTTCTCAATCCAGGAAGATAGGAAATTAAGTGAAGCTACCTTATCAGTCACAACATATTGTTGTGTGTCTGTATGTAATTGTATAAACGTATGTATTTCTACAGCTATTTTATCTTTAGAAATGTATCTTTTATAAAAAAAAACTGATAAGTGACGAATGAATAGTCTGCTTTATAAAGACAACTGTACCTTTTGAGAAATAAAACCGAACCTGAAATACTAACTCGACACGGCCTCCTCGATGACTTCATCTATCGGCTTTGGTAGGAAAACACTCTCCACTTCATTCGACCCACGAAAAGACGCACGTAACGGACCAGTTTGTCTCCTGTTAGTCCCACCTGTTCTCTGCTAAGAGATCAAGCCAAAACATGTTTTGTTAAAGTGATGTAAAGGAAAGCCGATGCTACGACTTCGAGATCTAGGTGCCAGTAGTGAACTCATGTAAACAAGTCCAACAACTTCTAATTTAAACGCAACACAAGTACTATGCAGTTCCTTATCAATTTTAATAACATCATCACATTACTTAGGAAAGACAACAGCATGTTAACAGAGTATGTAATGCCGGTTTTGCGTTTTACCTTTAATACTCATACGAGCCTATGAATAACGTTTCTGGTGTAAAAAAAATCGAGGTGTTGCTTAGGCACTGAAACAATAAATATCTCCTAAGGTTGTCAACCTATGCTACGTTAGCCAAATATTCCGTTAGAAATACCGGAATTTGTTATCCTAATCCACTTGTAAAATGCCATAGAAAGTTTGCCGTAAAGGTTAAAGTAATTATTAATTTGATTCATTCACATAATACAGGAAGATCTGGCCATTACTTCATTTCATTTTAGTAACATTTGGCCAAACGGACCACCAGTAAAACATGACCCTGTACACACTAGTACAAGATTGGATTACAAGAAAACAATGCAAAGGTGTGGAGAACGAAGTACGAAATCAATTCCATAACTTATTTGACTCAAAAATTGATTTACTTAATTCATAATTCCTTGGTATTTCCGCTGAAAGCAGCTGTATGAATTTGAACACAGACGGTTTTTCACGTGACTTATCCTGTAAAATTGTCTTAAATCCTCTAGGTATCACATTCATCTTCTACTTCGGTGGTTGAATAACAAGCTGTACAGTAGCTTTGAGTTCGATAACGACATAATGGAACCTGTCTGCCTCTATTGCTAAAGAATGTGAAGACAGACGTTATCTTGTTAAATGAATTCTAAAATTCTGTATAATATATTTAGTCAAATATCAAATTTACCTAAAAGTTAAAGTTAATGGTAACATGCTTTTCAAATGTCAAGTTTGGTGACTTTACTATACATCACTAAATTCTGAAACAAACAATTGATTTTTCACATAATGCAACCAGTTGAAACAGTTTTCGTAGAAAATATTTTGACTATTCAAAATGTAGTTTTTAGAATCAAGTAATTGTCAGCAATTTCTAATTATTCTATATTTTCTGTTACAATTTAAATGTAGTAATTGCCTAAGTTCAAAATATGACATTACATGTAAATTTCTTTACTTTAAGTGATCTCTTACAAAAAATTAAATGAACATTTTCAATTATCACTCCTTTTGAAGACACCAATAATTCACAGGCATAACACATATACTGCTCAAATAATGTAACATCGTTTTACAGTTTCAGCCTAGGTTTGATTACTTTGAAAATAAAACGAACATTGCTTTGCGTCCCTGATCAAATAATTGTTTTTGAATACTGTTATATGTATTGTCATACTTAAATGTACTTAAATGAAACTCCAAGATATATAACCTGACCAATACAAGACACTGATTTGCCATTGTAAGTCCATATTATTTCATCATTAGGTATTCCTCACGATGCGAAATACTTTAATTTTTGACTTGTCGACATGTAATGTAAGTTTCTATTGCTCTGTAACATTATCTAACAACTCTTGTAAACTTTCCACTGTGTCTGTGTAGGTCGTCCGCAGACTCAATTCATCAATATCATACTGACTATTACAATTTTAATTAAAAAATTATTTAAAGTCATTTGGTAAAAGTAAAAGGGATGACATTCCTCTTGCGTCAATCCGATATCAATACGGCGAAAAAAAAAACGAATAACCACCATCTGTTTTCACACATGATCTTCCATTTTATATATTGACTTTACAACCTGCAATATCGCACTTCTAACTCCTAATTTAGACAATTTATACCATAAATTAATCGTTTCAACATTATCAAACGCTTTGTTAAGATCAACAAAACAGCAATAATACTTCCAATGAATGACTCTGTTGTAATCGAATGTAAAGCAAAAACAGCCTCTGAATTGTGAAGGCCGGGATGAAAAGTGAATGGTGCATCTGTGAAAATATCGTACGACTTTGACCAGTTTATTAATCATGGGTTCGATATAAAGATGAGAATGATTTACCTAGACAACTGATTAACTAAAACTTCTGAAATAGTTTGCCATCATGAAAGATATCTAATGAATTGATAGTCCAATCAACTAATTATGTCGAGCCAGGTTCCCGCCAGAAGGTGTGCATGTATAAGGCAATGGACTAGGGCTCTAACAGATATCTCCGGGACGTTGTGGATAAAACAGAGAGTTATCGCAAGTTACCCCCAGTTCTAATTATAAAGTTGTTGAACAGAAGTTTTCCTCTTAATCCAATACAATAATAATGGTTTACTAACATGTATTAGTAACGGGACTTGTTGTGTGGTACAGGAATGAATATATACCTACATTCAGGAATTGTATTTCCCTTTTATGTAACATAAGTTAAACCAAATTTATTCTTCACAATTCGCATAAAATTATGACAACGGAAACCAATTTATAATATTCAATATTCACCAGAAACATCGATAATTGAAATATTCCAATTTATTATTACTATCTCATTTTTTTCCAGAAGAAATGCATCCAGTATTAAGTATATTTTTTAATGTATAAAAATGCACTGAAATCAGCTTTGAAGATTAAATCTAAGTTTTATGATAGGTTGGAAAGATACACCTATATTTAGTACGTGGACGTGACAATACAATTGTTTAAGCAATCTAGAGGGTGATGCTCTTTGAGATGAGGATATGTGCATTTACTTTGTGAAAGGTGAGTAAATTATTAACAAGTTGATTGGACAGACATAAAACTACTTTTCAATAGTCCTAACTCAGAGACATAAATAAAACAAGATGCTAGATGTTCAGCCATTTTGCTGTTATATCGGCTGTAAACAAGTACTGGTCATAGATCATACACGGAACACTAATTTTTCAGACGGATCACAAGGTCATTGTATAATGGTATTTCTTCGTTTTGTGTCTTCAACTTCGAATTTAGGTTTTATCTAGATTAACATTTCGTACAAATATAGTTTATGTAGTTTATGAGATTATTAAATTCATAAATATTGACGAGTGTCTGATAGTGCTGATTAAACTTACCGCTTGCCGACCCAACATTGTTATCAAAGTTTTGATAAATGGATTAGGATTTCTGGTGAATCCAGATCTCTGCTGCAAAGTATGACCACCAACCATTCCAATAAGGAGGAATGACCACAGCAACACATCGATCACCTGACGAAACATTGCTTTCTACTTGGAGTAGAAAGTAAATAAACCGCCGATCCGATATTTTCCTTACAAGTGAACCGACCTTACAAGTATAACACTTAACCTTACAAGCGACGTTCACTGAATAACATATGTTTCTTATTAATATAAAAATCACGTAAAAGACACATCCTTTTACATATCAGGGATCGATAGCCATCAACTTAACAACACGTTGATTGGATGCTTCGATAAACAATATAATGTATTGTGACTGTTAATTTATCCAAGAAATGCAAGAAGAATCACCTGTCGTAGCTCCATTAATTATCTGCGTCCATAATATAACTCATCAATTATAGAAGATGTCCATTAAATTAAAAAAAAGATTGATCACATTGGACTTTAATGTTTAAACTATTCAATGTGTTACAAACTTGCGACATGTTATATTAGGTCGTGTCATATGGTCTGCTGCAGTACATGTAAATATCTGGTGTTTTTTATTTATTTTATATAATTGCCTCATGTCATCGCGCGTGCTCTACTTCCATTTATACGAGTCGACATCTTTTGGTATAATCCAGAACAGCTAACAAAAGGAAGTCAACGACCCGTTTTTTCTGTAACCAGCTATTTCGTTCTACTCATTGATACACTATTTTTTTTCGGAAAGAATCATTCCTGATCCATGTATTGTGTAAATGACACACATGTGAAGTGAACCTTTAAAAACAAAATTTGAAATAGAAACAAAAGAGAAAAATTAAACTGCCTCACATAGCTATTGATATGTGAGAAAATATTGAAACCTAGAAATGTAAATGTGGAGTTCGCTAGCCTCAATTAAAAAAGTCAAGCAATAATCTCATTGAGAAAGTTTATATTTATTTGAAGTCGACTTCACAACCTCAGCGGTATATAGCTTTAGCTTTTCCACATACGAATATGTGAACCACAACATAAGCAGTTTAATGAATTTGAAATTTGACCAAAAGTATTACCATCAGGGGTCTCCGTGTAAATTTTCTTTTGCTCATTTATTTCATCGAATCTGAGACTGAATGAAGATTCTGTTGATTTGTCGATAGTTTTTTTTATGTTTTGCTCGTTTGAGACACATGTTATCTTGAACATGCCTCCCACCGGGTATCGGAATGTGAGTCAGGATCAATTATGGAGATGTTTTAGTAACATTATGTATATATTCTTTCACTACCATACAGAGCAGGTCCGTGGTTAATGACATCTTCCCAACTATTTTGCTGAGACGCAAGAGAAAAACCCTGCACTGAAGAAACAAATAAAAAATATGCTAATGAAGTCTCGTAATGGTTTATTGTCATTACATAGATATTTAAATCATCCATCTTAGAATGTGCGTCTTCCATCAAATATGACATAATCTTTGTATATATCACTGGAACCACTATTGTTCAGAAATTGAACACACATAAAACATGTTATTATAAATTCAATGAGAGCAAATGATTTCAATGAATATTTATTTGCCACAAGAAATAAGTAAGCAATGGAAAAAAACAATGTATAATACACAATAATTATATACAATGTAGAACAAAAGTATGTCAAAATGACATATATTAACCGCTTTATGAACAATCTGTCATCTATCAGTCTGGGCCCACACGTATTCTCGATCAATGACCTACATACTGAATAGGATAATGGTGACAACAGGTAGTCGATCAATGTGTTGACACGTAGACAACATATCAAGATATATCCTGGGCATTTATAACAGTGTTTAAATGCTTTGGTGCGTTTTCTATGTAATGCACGGTTTCTGGAAGTTGTTCTTTATTTGTTTCTGGTAACAGTAAAGTAAGTAAGGATGCAGCAAGAGAGAATGTTCCAAACACAATCAAAGGAGCCGCCTGACTAATGGCACTGGTAGCATTTGTTGCCTGAAAGGTAAAACGAACACGAAAATTAATTAAATCTTACTTGACATACACATATCCTCAAGGAAAACATAATTTGAGAAAATCAAATAAATATTATGTAAATTGTTAAACACATAGAGTAATTTGATAGCTTTATACCTATAGAAATGCCGTTAAAATTGAAGAAATGCAACATTCATACAGGCCAAGGAGGTAAAAAAGAAATTATAATAGCCTCTAAGATTTTTGTCATCATCGTAGAATCGTTTACTTTGCTGGGTTTTGGAGAGTTGATGAAGCACAAAAAAATCTGAATATAAAAGACATATATATGTGATCACTTGGTGGCTTTGTTCAATCTTTCAAACTTGAATATATATTCTTTTATCGAATCCCATCATTAAGCTTCAGTTAAGCTTATTGTTCATTTATTGTATATTCTCTGCAATTTTGTTCTTTTTTTCTGTTTTGTAACGACTAAGCGAACTTGCTATTTAGCAACTTCAGTAAAGCTACAATGAACCTTTATCTATCGTAGTGAAGCTTACTCACCTCCATCGACCAAAGTGAAACTAGCTCATTGTTATCAATCTGAATGAAGCAAGTTCAATGCTAACAATCTATTTCTCATCAGTCGTGATCACGTTAACTTACTGCTATTTACCAGAGGAAGCATAGAATATACAGTTGTAGCTACACTGCACCAAAACTAAAGAAACCGTAAGAACTATGGCAAAAGTTTACTTCCGGATATGTTCTTGCTATTGATTGGGTCTCTCTGAAGTTATTTTCATTTTCATTGTTAGATTCTCGCCAATACATACTTTGACCAGTAGTAATTACATCTTATCTTATTATTGACATGCACTGCATATGCACGTGTTTGGTGTCTACACTCTTTAATATTATAACACAAGGAAAATTAATCAGTACTTCTTTACTTAATCTAAATACAAAAAATACATACCAATTGTGCGATGAAAGGAGCAACAATATATCCGATGTTTCCACAAGCCAAACTTAAACCCATGCCACTGTTACGAAATACCGTGGGAAATATTTCTGCAGCCCAGAGATAAATTACACAGTATCCGACAGTTACCCCTAACTTCCCCATCATTGCCATGGCGAGCGTCACATTTCTGAAATCTTAACACCGTTAATCTGTCAACATCAAACTTAAGTGATAATAAGACCTTTATTACTAATATTTTCCAATGATCCAGAATTCAGCGTGTTGCCCGCGAATTTTAATACTACAGCCCATTGAGCTGTTAATTGGAGAAAAAATAAAGGTCGTAAACGATTTCAATAATAAAAAAACACATCCCCGTTAATCTTTAACCTCTCTTGATAAAAACTGCCGAACGATAAGCCGTCAAAATTCTTTTCGGTCACAGCATCAATAAAAATGTTTGTCCCGGGTATTAAAAGAGATTTTGAGACACATTAATGGTTACATAATCTTCATGTTAATTTACAAATGTATAAGCAAGATAGTATGTATTTGTGAGTCGTGTACCTTTTATAAGAAATACGGTCGTCCCTGCGCTGCATAACAACATGATTCCTGCTAAAAACATGGCCGATATGTAGAGTTTCTTTCGACCAATCCTGTTACTGAAGACTAGGGCGATTGTGTTGGCAGGAAATTCAACGAGTCCGTTTATCAAGAAGTTCATATAAAAGTTCCCACTTAGGTTTTCGGTATTAAGTGCGAATCCAAAATAGCAGTGATATACCACGAAACTGCAAATAAATTATGACCAATTGGAATAGCATACAAAATTTGGTTATCACTAAACTGTTATTCATTTTTACGTCGATCGAATTGCGTTTTTTATGTAATTTTGCCGTAACAATAACGTAATTGTAATAATTCTTATTTTTTTTCTCACATTATTTTGATTGGTGCATGTCGACATCAAATATTTTATCAATATCCAAATAAGATATCTGAAATAACTACTTACACGTTAAAACATATGACAAGTGAATGACACAGAAGTGAACGGCTTGAAACAAGATTTTCAAAATGGTAGGTTTTCGTCGAAACAACGTTCTCACTTTCTTCAAAGCAATCATCATTCAAAGGGACACAACTCTCTTTGTTGTTGGATTTTGCTATTTTCATAAGTACTGCTTTATATTCTGTTTTTCTACCTCTACTAATCAGCCATCTTGGGGACTCGGGTAGGATCCTGAAATAGATAACATGTATAGGGCTAAAATCAAAACTTATATGAGAATAAATGCTTCTTTTATTGAATGGCGTCCGGAAGGCAGCAAGAAAATAGTTAACTAAGATAATAGTATTAGCACATACCACCAATACATTAGGAATATAATAACTGGTGCTGAGGAAACAATTTGGATATATTTCCAATGCCGAAATCCGTATCCGATCCCTGCCAATAATACGACTCCCCCCGAGTAGAAATAATTCAAGAGGAATCCAGCATACTGTCTTTTTGATGGGCCGACCATTTCCACACCTTAAATATAAAAATACCAAAAATCACATGTGACAGTATCAACACAGTTAGTTAAAATAACATTTCTATCTCATATCATATTCAATATATAGTGTTATAAATTATAACATGTAATAAAAGATACATTTAGATATACGTAGATATAATCAAATGCATCCAGATTAGTTTAGCAGTTGTATTTTTTCTGATATGAATAAAATCCAAATGATTCTGCTTGATCAAAAACATTTGTTTTCAATCCGGAGTCTATCTTCATTTCAATAGAACAGCTCGTCTCATTAATTAAGAGTTGTCATATGTCATATGCAAAACCTAATACCCCTCGATTCCCCAGCCGGTTCACGCCCACTACACTAAGTAGAGATATCTAAATAGGATCATAATGCATTTGACAATCTGATAAATAATTTGGAAGGTTTGACACACAAGAGAAAAAATTCGTTTCAATAATAATGATAATAAAAAAATCCCAGAAATTCTGTATATTTTGTCCGTTTTGTATTATTAATTGACAGCGATGCTAGAGACAAACAACAAAGAAATTGGAAATTGGAGATACAATACCATAGCAACAAATTGCATAATTTATTGGAAGTGGTTTATATAATTTACTTATGATTTCCGATAAACTCGCAACGTGGCTTACTTTGAAGGCGGTCCTTATACAAAAAGCATAGTAGAAAGGTAGACACCAACAATAGTAATTGGTGTATATCGAGCCATTTATTCAGTTAATAAAATATATTCCATAACTAAAACGTCGGTTTCCATGTGACAATTTTACTCTCACCTAAGACAAAAGTAGGGATGAACACTCCCCTTGACGAAAAGCCTTGAAGAAATCGAAAGGCTGTAAACGCATAATAGTTTGATGACCATGCTGACGCCATTCCAGAAAGGAAAAACATGACTAGACTGATACATATCGTCTTTTGTCTTCCAATGCTGAAAGGAATTATTAGTCAAATTGCAAATGATAATTTGAACGATTAATACTAAATGGAAAATAAATTAAACGCTACAAACATGTAAACTTCGAAATGTTTTTTCTGTGTTTATTTACATTCATCGAAATATTTCTGAAAAACATATACACTGTTTACATTTATGTGCAATAACGCTGAAAATACGATAAAACTTGCAAAACGTAAATTAAATTCCGAGAAATCGTGTACGAGTTATCTTTCCTGAATCAGAAGACTTGTGATATCAAGTCATCACCGAGAGGAAAGTTTCATCGAGAAAATGTAACACATTACAGTACATATCCTTTTATTATGTGTACTGAGATAAACATACCAGTCCGCTAGTACTCCCTGAACCAGTGATCCACAGAATGATCCTACATACACTATCATTTGGATATAGGTAGGGATAAGGTCATTATCACACACGAGGTCATTCTGGAATGTATAAAGACATAGATATTTATATACGTGTGATATCCTTACAACCACAGATTAGAGATTAAAGATACTTATGATAGGCTAACGAGATCAATGCTCTCTTACAACTCCCTTACACATAGCTTTTATTATCTTATTATCGTTATTGAATTTCAAAAGATATGTATTTATTATATTAGTCTCTTCTCAGTGAGGGTGATTTTTGTCTGACAAATAATACATGTGTAATTTTCTATATTCCTATAACAACATACCTCAGTGACTATTGACTCCACGAAAACTGACTTATCATATTTCCAAGATGTACAGATATCGACTGTATTTTCTTCATGTCCAGACGAATTGATTATTTCCAGACTTTGTGTGCACTTCGGTTCCTCGTTATCAACTGTTCCATTTGTAAAGTTAGCTAAGGTATTCTCGTTCAATCCAAAACATCTGGTGAGTGTATTTAGAAAATTATAATGATACATAAGCATATATCATTATATACATTTACACTGTAATAGAACCATTTGGATCAGCTCGGTAATGTCATGGGGTATGAGATTGTTCATCACTACATGACTTAACATCATAGTGAACACCTCCATTAATTGATGTAGTTCTGAAGGTTATAAGTCCAATAAGAAAACCCTCTTTATTCCTCATTAATTATAATATAGGACAATACACACTTTTGAACTACCGATTGTTGTGATCAGCTTTAGACTGCAATAGAAAGACGATTTAATGTATGTGAGTTTAATTTTCTCCCGTATGTTGCTTGTCATATTTGTGAGCTGTATCTTTGCCGATACGCGTTTGTCATATTTGTGAGCTGTATCTTTGCCGATACGCGTTTGTCATATTTGTGAGCTGTATCTTTGCCGATACGCGTTTGTCATATTTGTGAGCTGTATCTTTGCCGATACGCGTTTGTCATATTTGTGAGCTGTATCTTTGCCGATACGCGTTTGTCATATTTATGAGCTGTATCTTTGCCGATACGCGTTTGTCATATTTATGAGCTGTATCTTTCCCGATACGCGTTTGTCATATTTATGAGCTGTATCTTTGCCGATACGCGTTTGTCATATTTGTGAGCTGTATCTTTGCCGATACGCGTTTGTCATATTTGTGAGCTGTATCTTTCCCGATACGCGTTTGTCATATTTATGAGCTGTATCTTTCCCGATACGCGTTTGTCATATTTGTGAGCTGTATCTTTGCCGATACGCGTTTGTCATATTTATGAGCTGTATCTTTCCCGATACGCGTTTGTCATATTTATGAGCTTTTTCTTCTCCTGTTAGTTGTTTCCTATATTTGTGAGTTTTACTTTCCCCGGTACGTGGTTTCCTATATTTGTGAGTTTTATTTTCCCCGGTACGTGGTTTCCTATATTTGTGAGTTTTATTTTCCTCGGTACGTGGTTTCCTATATTTGTGAGTTTTATTTTCCTCGGTACGTGGTTTCCTATATTTGTGAGTTTTATTTTCCCCGGTACGTGGTTTCCTATATTTTATGAGCTGTATTGATACGCGTTTGTCATATTTGTGAGCTGTATCTTTGCCGATACGCGTTTGTCATTTGTGAGTTTTATTTTCCCCGGTACGTGGTTTCCTATATTTGTGAGTTTTATTTTCCCCGGTATGTGGTTTCCAATATTTGTGAGTTTTATTTTCCCCGGTATGTGGTTTCCTATATTTGTGAGTTTTATTTTCCCCGGTATGTGGTTTCCTATATTTGTTAGTTTTATTTTCCCCGGTATGTGGTTTCCTATAATTGTGTGCGTTATCTCTCCGGTCAGTTGTTTGTTATAATTGTAAGCATAATCCTTCCAGTTTGTTGTTTTTAGATCATTTTCTGTTATGTGGCGCAGGCTTACAGTCAGGCCTACTATTTCCCCATCTTTTCATTCCCTAATGTTATGTAATTGTATATATTTTGTGAATAGGGCTAGTAACACTCTACAACTGGACAGATATTTTTGGTTGACGGTGTACAATTTAATTGTTACTTCCCAGATATTATATCCTCATACATCCAACAAACATTCCAACCCACTCTTTGGACATAAAAGCAATACAGATGAGATAATTAACCAAAGTTCGTTACAAATAGCGGATCTGACGCTGCCAGTGTATCCGCTCCATTTGATCTTATACATCAAGCAGTTTTAAAGAATTGAGATAACAGGAAACATTGATTTTTACCTGTAATTCGGCGTAAAAAGGAGGAATGCGTTGACTACATCTGACAAGCCGATAAAAACGACCAGTAGACACAATAGGAAATATACACGTCTTTGGTACGGACCAAACTCGCCAATCTTCCTCAATGTCTCGTCAAAATTAACAGCCATGCTTGTCCCTATTAGAAACTAAAAAACAAGCATATCACGAGTTAGTTCATTTGGGGTATGGCGACTTCATTTGGGATTTTAAAAAAAAGGCCAGGATGCCTTCGACACAGAATACTGCATCATCTTAAACCACCAACATTAGGGAACAGAAGGTGAGTATAGCAATTAATGTATATGTAAAGAGTAGAAGAGGATTTTATATCAAGCCTAAGCTCAGATCATACTGTCCATAAAAAACAAAACAAACAAAAACAGAGAAGAAAAGGAAGAAAAAATTAAGTACAACATCAACATCAACGGTATAAAACAGAAAGAAAATCTTTTAGTCGTTTTTCAGATAAGAACCTCGTTCTTTGTCAAGACTGTACATGAATGGAATTAAACTAAATGATTGTAAGGTGAGCGCGGGAAAGATAAACCCATCCAAAGAACCAACGCCTAACAGGGATCATTACTATCTGATTCTTCTTGTCAGTTTGAAGTACAATGAGTGATTAGTTGTAAACAAATGTTTAAAGACAATCAAAATATCGACATTACAATAACAACATGATACACAATATAGAAACTATGTGAACTTGTATAGCATCGATGTATCTCAATCATATAAGTTTGATTCAAATACACATGTTTAGCATGTATATGTGACAACGAAGTTTAGATATTGATTTTTTTTATACGTATGTATAGGTTTTTGCTTGATAAACAGCTGTGTTATAAACTATATATTCATAAAATGAGTTTTACTAGAACGCACTATATTGTACAACACAAACAAGATAATCTTCTAATAGAGACAATGGATGAATCTGCACCATACAAAGGAACAACTTGCACGATATGATGTGTTTAGTATATAATCGAAATTCCATAAATGATATGTACCCCACCTTTTTGTTGTACATATAGACTGAAGTTAATGTCATTCAGATCTATATATTATATAACAACAGTGATTGATATTATGGTTGTATTTGAAATGTTCCTGTCATTGAATAAATGATCATTTGACAACATTTCTTTTCTCTGTTGTTTTTTGTTTATAAGATATGTACAACAAATAACAAGCTGCAGTCTCTAAGCTGGGTTACCATGCTAACACAAATGATATGGTGTATATATATAGGAATCTAGAGACATTTACCATCCTTGCGGATATGGTTGTACAACGATATCGATGAGAAGGCCGTATCATTTCAGTAAATTTCGTAAATTTGATATTTGTAATCGAATGAATTAAAACGTGGTATACACGCGACAGCAAAGTTCTGGGACTAATAGTTCACTCTCAGTTCGATTCTAGGACTCGTCAGTGATGTCGAGAGCCTAAATTTTAAAGCTCGGACTCGACAGATATATCAAATACGTATTGCCTTTAATATCACAAGGTTTATTGACATCGTCAATTGCATATACAAACCAGGATTTGGAAATCAAAAACACGCCAGACTTTTCCACAACGGCCGCTTATCGCGATCTTTATTTTACAGCGAAAATACCAAGCTATATGATATGCTTCATGCTTTTAGTACAAGTTTTAGAGTTAGATATAGTAGAGACAAACAAATTGCATCTATGGTATTGACATAACGCAGTGGATTCGATAATCAAGGATGTGTTCCCAATATCACGAATTGCATGCAAGATGTCGTCAGCTGACAGGCAAACTCATAACACAGGATTTTCAAAAGATGAAGGTTGATGAAAATTATGGGGAAGCTGTGCGGTTGTCATAATATTTCTTGTACAATATGAAATTGGGTGTGTTTGAGACTGGTTAGTTTGCCTGTTGGTTCCAAGTGTATGCATTATTATCATTTGACGTTACACATTTTGGTTGACCAATATTTACATGGAGGATGCCTCCGATGAAGCAGAAGACTCTTACTCCTGTGCTTTTTCATGAGTCTCCGTTTTCTATTTCTATTACAAATTTCTATATAATTCAAGCAGATAATCATACGTGTAAGTAATTTGAAACTTAAAAAATTTTCATATGCATCTTCGTCAGTACAAATATATTATACAATAACCTTTACGGAAATGCTATGTCTGCTGACCAAACCTGACCTGTGATATGAGCAGTTTATGTTATGACAAGTTTGGTAACTACCTGTCAGTGCCTTAACGTGGTAAGATTATCCACTGTTATGTATACAATACCATGTATAGACGCTAATCTCACGTTAACACTGAACGACGGACTCATGATCACGTAATGTGTATTTGATATGGGTGTCGGTGTTGACCCTGAACCGATAAAAGGTTTTACCTTAGTCATTCTGTTATAAATATATTGAACTTATTATATATGATAACTATGTTGATGCCAGATATATCTTTAATATGGTTTATTCTTAGTTGTAATTTATATCACTATACTATTCACCTATTTAAAATCTATCACTTATCTGCTTTAACTTATATTTCATCTCTATCGATCAGATCATTTATATCTAGCATGTTTGATCACTGACATATCAATTGTTTTTTTGTGTTTTTTTTTTAAGGTGAAGCACATTTCAAAGCCTGATAACCATCAATACGTGAATATTTTCCCCTTCGCTTCAATATTAATCATTTTGGCTATAGGTCAATTACATTATCGATTAGGGATGCTCCGAGAAAATCACATACCTGAGGTACTCACGTCCTTCCTCGGCTGCCAAGGAAATCACTAAACTCTCTGATAGAGTGAAAGGGAAGGGAAGTAACTCTGAGAGATGGAAAATTATGACGCTTTTCTAATAAAAAAAAATGTGTTGTCATTCTTTAAGTTTTTTCGAACTCTTGTGCTTGTTTGTTGTTCTCTTTTTTAACTTTTGGCCATGTCAATGAATGTGTTAAAAAGTCATTTATACGTCGGTTCAATTTAATTGATATCTGAATTTCTTATGCTATTTTCCCCCGAAGCAGTTTGAAGACAGCAGTAATATGAGCCCCGGGCTAACATTTGACATTTCTTATGTCAACATATGTGCGTACGTGTGAATGTAATTCTTTAAGGCGATATTTACTTAGATGTAGACCATGATATCCTATTATGATAACAGTGACAAACAAATCAATAACTTTGAGGCTAGCATTTATTCTTAACTTTATTCATTGACATTTTAGGAAACTATATAGGAACTTGAAAAAATACACAGGGATGAAGAGTAATACGCTATCACAGGTATGCATAGTTTTTTTATCATGTTAAAAATAATTCAATTCCAATTCCATAAAATGAAACATAGAACATGGGTAAAGCTCAGACCAATCATATTTTTCAATATCCCTAAGATGTTCCTAATTTAAAACACAAGTAAATTTGTTTGAACATTTAACAAAATGTTTATTTAAGGATGAAATATTTAATTATATTGAAAAAGATATATAGTAAAATGAAAATGAATTGTGTGCCTTCCGGTATTTCACTTTGATCACTTATCAAACATACCTAATGTTGGAATTCAGTTTACAACCAATTACAACCAATACAACAATCGTCTTTTTATCTATACTTGTACATGTTCAGGTAAAAACAATTTCTTACTACTGCAACTTGGAAAAAAAATTCAAAACCAAAAAAAAAACAAAAAGACAAAACAAAACAGATAATCTAAAGTCATAGACATATTGTTTTTAATAAAAGATTTTATTTTTGTTATCTTTTTATTTATGGTTTTGTAATAAGTTAAATAATATCAGGGCAACAATAGCTTAGAAGAAAACTTTTTTAATATGCAAATTGGCGTTCGTCTGATGATCAGATCGCAACGTTTAATAAAATAGGCAATTGCCCAAAGTCACTTTCATTCACGCTATAATGCATCTGTAGTAACTGACGGTTCTGAGAAATCTATGTTGGAATTAACGTCTATGCTAAACTCTCTGATTCGAAAAATAAAGTTCCGAAAGCACGGGTTATTTGGATCGTGAATGCAAAAAACAACTCTGAAAACACTTAAATTCCTGAGTTAATGTAAGAAGACAAAACAAAAGAATGGACATAGCTGTTCACTTTATGTTGTTGATTTGCATGAGATACCAAAAGCAAATCTGGAGAAAAACAATTACAAAGCTGAAATAATTAACGAAAACCTTTAAAAACAGAGACCTTAAACTCCAATGTAAAGTACCCATATTATAAAATCACTCCTTATCTCACAAAGTAACTTCATTATTCAAGAATAAATCCTTAATTCTTACAATGTCGCCATAAAACTTCAATATATTGAGTTCGGTACAACATGACATGGTAAATAAACAACATGCCTGTGAAATGTGTACTTTCTTATCAGTATGAAAATGTCTAAGTGATCAAAGGGCTTTGTGACATTTAGAAAATACTGGCTTAAAAAAGCACCTCAAAATCAAAAACATCTCGCCGCCACCATTTCAGTCCCAAGATGTCTTCTATGTGTTTTTGTATTGTAAGCTTAAACATTAAGGCCACCTCACTGTTTCGCAATTAAATTATAAAAAAGGGGAAAAAATAAAAATTAAAAAAAATTAAAATTAAAAAAAAAAATAAGTCGCTCAGACTAATTTTACATTGAATGTCACTGACCAATCAGAAAACCGAACAAAGTTACCGTGTGTGTCTTCTACTTTGCTTGATGTCAGAACAGTAGGCGATATAGTTGTCAAACTTGCTTTCCAAGAATAACGTCGTGTTGAACGTTATAGGAAGCCCAACAGACACGGAAGTGAAAGGTCCCTGTAGTGCTTTGCACCAATGGCTGATAGCAACATATAGCAACTAACGCCCTTGAACCCCTCGAATGATTTGTCATTCGGAACAACTTGCTCTGATCTATTTCGTGTTCATGTACCTTTAAAATGGATTGAAACAATGCCTTCCAGACAATGCTATGAAAAATGGACAAACGTGGCCGTAGGGGAGTTTTAGTCATTTCGTTATTAAGAACACTCAGATATTAAGTCCACTTTTGTCCAACCCCCATGGCTATTTTAATAGTGAAATTTAACTATGTGTGGATTTGTGCATGATA